GACTCAATACAATATCAGGCTCTCAAACTAATTACACGCACCCAACATGGCACCTCCCACATGGCCGCGTCCCAATCAAACCCTCTAATCCAAAACTTAATAAACCAAAATATCAGCCCCAAAAACCAAGCGCTAGCTCGTAAACACCCCTTACTTACCCCAATATCCCAAAGAATAACAAACTACCTAAATGAACACCAAATTAAAAATCTTAAACAAAACTGCAAACAATCAAATATCTTCACCCCTAAACTTAAATACCCAAAATAGACACAACACTAGCTAGCCAAATAAATAAACAAACCGACCCAAACATAGCTAAAACCACCACACTAGCATACATACACGAAAATTGACCAAATTGGTGTCACATTTACACGGACGGATCTTCAGATCCGACCTCCAAACACACAGGTTTCGGAGTCCATACCACACAACCAACTAAAACCACACAATCCTTCCGACTCCCAAACAACCAATCAATATTCACGGCAGAACTAATGGACATGGCCTCAGCCCTCCATAATCAAGAATCCAAAAAACACAAAAAAATCCTAATACTTACCGACTCCCTAAGTGGACTGCAAGCCTTCCAAAACAAAAATACCAAAAACCGACCTAAATTAATAAATCTAATACTTAAAAGCTCCAACGACCTAACTAACGCAGGCAAACAAATAACCTTCTTGTGGATACCCGCCCACGTAGGAATATACGGTAATGAAACGCCGATAAGGCAGCTAAACTATCCCTCAAAATCCCAGAAATAAGCTTAAACTTACCCATCTCAAAATCAGAAATTAAAAGCGTAAATAAGCAAAAAATCCCCCCAAGATGGCATAACCTATATCTAAACTCAAATAGCCAAATCAAAAAAGTACTCAGCAAACCACTAACCAAACCAAAAATTCTCACTCCATCAAAAAAAATCGACAGAGTAATCACTAAACTCCAAACAGGACACACCAACCTAAATAACCACCTTAAGTTAAAAAAACACAACATACTACAGGTAACTGCCCACACTGCAAACAACTAGAAACCCCAGAACACGCACTCATCTACTGCACACACTACCTAACACATCGAACCGCATTAAAAGCGTAAATAAGCAAAAAATCACCAAAAAATGGCATAACCTATATCTAAACTCAAATAGCCAAATCAAAAAAGTACTCAGCAAACCACTAACCAAACCAAAAATGTTCCATCCATCAAAAAAAATCGACAGAGTAATCACTAAACTCCAAACAGGACACACCAACCTAAAAAACCACCTTAAAAAAAAATAAAAAAACATACTACAGGTAACTGCCCACACTGCAAACAACTAGAAACCCCAGAACACGCACTCATCTACTGCACACACTACCTAACACATCGAACCGCATTACAAACCACCCTCAATCTAAACAAGGCTCTCACTCTAGAAGCAATACTAAACCCACAAAATAAACTAGAAAACTTCAAGGCCTTAGGCGTATTCCTAATCAAAACGGAACTAATAAAACGCATCTAAAAACACTATAATCCACCAAATCAAAATTACATAAACACACAAACATCCACCATACCCAGCTCCCTTAGTTCTCCTCCCCTACCCAATCGGCATCTATTCCAAATCTCAAAATTCCAAAATTCAATATAAGCAACCCCTAAAGCCCCCTCTTGGGTTGCACAAACCACTTTCGCCCCTTTCGGAAACACATTAAATGGCCTGGCCGGGCCCGTGTGCGAAATACGCATCAGTCGGAAAGCGCACGTTAAATCTCTAAAGCAAGTAAGTAAGTATGCCCGGATCCTCAGATCCGATCTCAAGACACACAGTTTTCGGAGTCCACATCGCACAACCAACCAAAAACACCCAAACAACCAATCCATATTCACGGCCGAACTCATGGGCATGGCCTCAGCACTACACAATCAGCAATCTAAAACACACCAAAAAATCCCCAGCCTAACCGACTCCCTCAGTGGACTACAAGCCCTCAAAAATAAAAACACTAAAACCGCCCCAAACTAATAAATAAAATGCTCAAAAGCTAAAACAATTTAACTAAGGCAGGTAAACAAATAGAGTTCATTTGGATCCCCGCCCACGTAGGAATCTTTGTAAATGAAAAGGCAGATAAAGCAGCAAAATTATCCCTTAAACTCCCAGAAATAAGCTTAAACTTACCCAGCTCAAAATCAGAAATCAAAAGTGTCACTAAACAAAAAATCCACAAAAAATGGCATAATATATACCAAAACTCAAATAGCCAAATCAGGAAAGTACTAAAAAAAACCTAACTAAACCAAAAATACTACACCCATCAAAAATAATCGACAGAATAATTACTAAACTACATACAGGCCACACCAAACTAAATAATCACCGTAAAATAGCTAATCTACACACAACAGGAAACTGCCCACTTTGCAAACATCAAGAAACACCAGAACACGTACTCATTCACTGCACACACTATCAAACACACCGAACAACACTACAGACCACCCTAAATGTTAAAACCGCACTTACACTAGAATCAATCCTAAATCCACAAAATCAATTAGAAAAATTCAAAGCCTTAGGCATATACCTAATTAAAACAGGACTAATTAGTCGCATTTAAACCCCAAATAAAATATTAAAACCAGAATTACCTTATCTCACAACCACCCAACACACACAGCTCCCTTAGTTCGTCCTCCACCAACTCGTGGCACTCATTCCAAATCTCCAAAATTTCAAAATTACTATATAAGCAACCCCTAAAGCCCCCCTCCTGGGTTGCACAAACTCACTTTTCCCCTTTTGGGAAACACATTAAATGGCCTGGCCGGGCCCGTGTGCGACATACGCTTGCAGTCGGAAAGCGCACGTTAAATCTCATATATATGTTAGTAAGTAATGCCCGATCAAAATACCTGAACGTATTACGGGCAATTTCAGGCACATCTTGGGGCTAATCGAGGAACACTCAGCTGGACCTCTACAAATCTCTTATCAGATCAAAAATTGACTATGGTTGTGAGGCCTTTCATTCAGCATCAAATACTGTCTTGAGACGCCTAGACAGAATACAATACAAAGCCCTAATGCTGGCCACAGGCACCGCAATAGGCACCTCACTAGAAGCACTACAAGTAGAAACGGGAGAACTCCCATTGAAACTAAGAAGAGAGCAGGCAATATTATCGTTCTGGGGACGAACATCAAACCCTTTGGTTAAAAAGATATGGCAAGACAAAATCACTCGAGATGAAGCCCTAGCTCGAAATAATCCCTCACTAAAGCCATCTGGGATATTAGTACGTGAACTCATTCGAAGTCACAATTGTGATGACATTCAGCCTCCAGAAAGTCACTACAAAGGGTTACACCCTCCCTGGACTTTAAAAACTACCAAAGTTGACACTGCTTTAACATCAGAAGTCACTAAAAAAGAAAACCCAACCCTACTACGATCAGTATCTATCACTAAAATTCAAACTACCTGGGACAGCTGGGCCTATATATATGGTTTAAACATATTTTTATTTCGAAAGAAATCTGGATCGGTAAACAAGCAAAACTTGCTTATGTAAATTCCTCTCCAGGTAATAACCTTACAACGTGGCATGTTCATTTGGCTTGGAAACACCTTCTGAACGAATGCCTATTTACGAAAGCAAGCTTGCTTTTTATTGTCAAACACTGCATGCTTTTCCTATAGTCCAAATTGACATGGCAGAAACAGCCTATAGGCATATGCAAATTAGCCTGGAAAAAAAGTTATCAAAACAACAATAAAAATAACAGCTATGTTTACGTACATAATAATAATGACATGTACGTTGTTGTTTGAGAAGGGGAAAATGTTACTTTTACGTTCTAATATTTTGACGATGATTCACTATCCCATAATGCCACTCACAAATCACTAACCACTGACAAATCACATGCACGTAGGTTTCAAGCACCCGTTTCCACCTGTCGTCAAGGTGTCATAGGTCATGGACATTCACCTTGATCTACTAACATCTGGTTATGCTCAGTTTCACAATAGTCTGTTTTGTTCATATTCTTACACACATTTACGTGTAAAAAGACATAAAATCCTTTGATACGCTGTATTTGTGCCAAGGCCCAATTAGTGCTAATTGAGTTGTTTGAATATTTATATATTTTGTATATCAACTGCATTTATTTAAAATCTGAGATCGAAAAAACAATTTTTTTTCATTTCCGTGAGTACTTTAGTTTTCTGTTAACAACGTCTATGAGATAACGGGGTTGTAAAAATATATCGCAATCAAGTCTTGACACGTATTCTACTTCACGCGTGGGAACTATTGATTGCCACCGTTTTCTCGTCCCCGAGTTGCAGCGAGCATTGTCCATATTGAGATCGTCAAATTTGTTGGCTTCGTCCATATGCCATCCTTGACACAACATAAAATTCTGTTTAGATTCTTCGTCGAAGGACAGTAGCGATTCGAGATAACTGTGGTAGGCTACGTAGCGAGACTGGGCGTGACCTCCTGCTGATTTTGACCGAGTTGTACCCTTACATCGCGGAAAAGACTTTGAAGGTAATTATTTATAGGCGCGACGTGGTCCGGAGGTATATTATTATCTGGTCCGGATGCTCTCGGGTTTGTATTGTCGCCATAACTTTTACAAAATCGTCCAACATATGTACGTGAGTGAGTAATGGAGTTAACGCGTTTCCAACAATTTGAAACTCGATAATGTCGCTGTACAGGTACAGGTTATGGAATGTTTGATCTTTAAGGGTATGTAGGGGGGCACGGGTGGCCCAGTCGTCTAAGGCGCCGCGATTCGCTGTGCAGAGTTGCGTCTCTAGGGCACGCCAGAAACCTATGATTGTGGGTTCGAATCCCGGTTCGCCCCGATTATGTTTCTAGGTTTGTCAGCACAATACCCGTGCTCGTGGGTTTCACCGAAGTGGTAAACGTCTAAGACCTGCATCACTTCGGGCTTTCCTCTCACATTAAGCTGACACGCCGCGATATAACTGGAATACTGTTAAAAGCGGCGTTAAACCCAACTCACTCACTCACTAAGGGTATGTAGGGCTTAGGTAGCTGCCTGCTTTTCCTCGTGTAACGTAAACACGTGTTCGCCGGACTTTGTCACAATACCCAATAATCTCGCTTATGGCTGGGTGAAGTTTTATCGATGCTTTGAAAAGCCTTACTCGGGTATATTGTTTTTCTTCTTATTTGGAAACAGGAGGTAATTTGAAATAAACAGTGGGGTTCTTAATAGTTAAAAACTCCCAATCCGTTGAATAGTAATAAAATTCATAAGGATCTACATCCGGCAATTTCTTGGTTTCGGACTTGATACCCATCTGTAACGATTCGTTGATCACGGCAACTAATTGGCTGTCGGTACAATGTCCTTCGGGAATGGTTAGCGAACAGGCATGCGCGAAAGGCAAATCCACGTTGCCACGGGAACCGCTTAAGTTCGTGAGGATCGATACGCTTAGGGTGTTGAGAGGGTTATGTACGTTTCGCCATGTCACGGGTATTTGAACTACTACTTCCAATTTGCGTCAATTGAAATGTAATGGATTAGGTAAACAAGTCGTGTACTCATTGGCTTTGTTTTCAGGCTTGCAACCATAGAGGCGTCACTCGGTAGCGTAACGTAAAAGTTTGTATGGTATTAATCTATCGCGGTATTATAATTACCCCTTTAACCTCTTTATCGAGCCGTATATAAGCTACTCGATTTGTAAAATACTTTCTATCGGTGAACACTTAATGCAACAACAACATGCCCGGTCAGTATTTTAGGAAAGCCTATTTTAGCATTGCAGCCATGGCAAAAGGACACTCTGCTTCATTTCGGGGCATGATAGTGGCAGTATTTGTCACAACTCTGTTTGTAATGGGTTATATCAGCTCTCATTTTAAACCAGTCAGAAACCTGGAGAAATCTTTGGACTCCAAAAATACGGCATTTCATCCCTCTAATCCTATAAGAGTGGACAATATTAACTCCAGATGTCCAAGCGTTCTGCAAAACATGACCCAAGGTCATTGGAGGACGAGAAAGCTTACCGAAGCCCAACGTAGACAAACAGAATTGTTTTATCACATGGCCTTGAACCACATAGGAGTACCCAGTTCCCTCCAGAGACATGACAGTCGATGTGGTGACATAGGCTACCCAAACGTAATAGATTTTCTTCGAGCAATTTGCAGTCCCACAGGACCGACCCCTTGCTGCTATAACTTCAAGTGTGTCAACAAAACAGAAGCCCAGTGTCGGTGTGAAAACTGTTGGGATATTCGACAGCAGATTCACGCAGAATATTCTACCTGGATACCATCCGATCCCCGGTGTCAACCACGAGAATATAGTCCCAGACAAATCTGTCAGTTGTTGGACGGCGGAACCATCCGCTTCCTTGGGGATTCCCTCGTGCGACACATCTACACAGGCTTGCTGATGACGGTTCGAGGCAATTTCAAAGACGGCGGTGTTAGACCCACAGAATCCCGAGGTCAGTATTTGCGTTGAAACAATACGGGCAGGTAATTTATTACTGGTTTGGGTTGGTTGTGGTGTTGATCAGAGATTTTTTTATTCAGTAATATACTGAAAACAATTATTCTCCCCTGATACTTAGTCATATTTTTTTATAACACTCCTTATGTCCATGTACAATTTTAATGACCCTCCATGACAAGGAAAAATGAAAAACTTTATATTTGATTATAAAATGTCATACTTTTCATGATACGCTATCTTTGACGATGTGACTTGAATTTGAAGAAGTCTCGGCAGCATTGGGTCTGTGGTAGTAAGTTGTGTGTACAATGCACATTTCATATCTAGATGTAGACGTTTTACCATCCGTGAAATGAGACATTGAGTATAATCTTTAAGGCCTTGGTTAATATACAGCTTAAACCATTGAGGTAGCACACGACGTGTAGCGGATGTTCCAGCGACATTTGTAAAGCAGTAGTTTAGAGGAGTCATGTTTGACATCCCACTGTAACCATTAACCCCTTGTGCGTTGAACAGCATGAAACACTAGGATCAAACGTGCAAGGACAAATTTAATTTTTTTAAATTCTTTCATCCGACTTCTCGGTGCTGGATATACGCAATCACTTGCCTGATAAAGTTCGAGTATCTGCACATAAATAATAGAAACCCTGTCTTCACTGATACCTCTTGTAAATGCCACTTAATTATTTAGTCACAGCTACCAATCAACGTTTACAAGTGGCGTCTTTATCTTTTTCAGAGTGGAATTCAAAATGCTCAGGGATGAACATGTTCGAAGAGAAAAACTGTAGGAAGCAATTGGACGCGCAGCCAAAGAATATATGTACAGGCAGAGTGACGCTCAGTTGGAAGAAACATGAACTCAGTAGACAATGGACAGAACTTATCAATGACGTCACAGAAAGCTTAGCTGACCGGCGGACGTTGTTTGTTGTTGGTATAGGTATTCATGAGGATTATAATTCAAATAAGGTGAAGCTGGAATATCTGAAGCCAACCTTGGATAGGTAACGAAAAAATGGTAACCTCTGGCCCAAGGTATTGTTTGTTGATATGAGTGCTCCGGGAATTATGAAACGTTCAGATACACAGTCAAAGCCTCGCGTCCTTCAATTCAATCGCGATATGGAGAAGTTTCTGAAGGTATATAAAGTACCCGTTTTTAAGACATTTAATATGACAGACGGCGTGCGTAGCTTTGATGGAACGCATTTCGCTTTGGGAGTGAATGCCGTGAAAGCGAACATTCTCCTGAACTATGTACAGGAACTCAGTGATAGTGGTATTTGGTAGTTGATTATGGAATCTTAGATTGTAATAAGCACCATGTTGTCGTGTGAGACATGTACATTTTGTGGTGTTGTAAAATACAAGATGATATGCGCTTTGAATATTTATATACAGATGGTCAATAAATAAATCGCTCGATCTCTGTCTTTCTGTTCACCCCGTAATTCCTAGTTCCGACGTATGAACGGGATCGGGTGGTCAGGCTCGCTGACTTGGTTGATGCATGTCACCGTATCCCAATTGCGTGGATTGATGCTCATGATGTCAATCACTCGATTGTTTGTTCCAGACTCGATTATTTAAAGACCGCCGTCATATAGCTGGAATATTGCTGCAACAAAAAAAAAAAACCATATGCAGTCATTTTTTTTATAACTTTTTATTTCTGTTGTATTTTTACACATTTTTTGCATTTTTATACAGTGTAATACATAGGCAGTAAACAAAAGCTGAGAACAGAATTATTGTGTGGCAAACAAAAGATGACAAGATGACCAAAATTTGTAGAATTTATCGATTGTGTAATACATAGGCAGTAAACAAAAGTTGAGAACAGAATTATTGTGTGGGAAACAAAAGATGACAAGATGACCAAAATTTGTAGAATTTATCGATTGTGTAATACTAAGGCAGTAAACAAAAGTTGAGAACAGAATTATTGTGTGGGAAACAAAAGATGACAAGATGACCAAAATTTGTAGAATTTATCGATTGTGTAATACATAGGCAGTAAACAAAAGTTGAGAACAGAATTATTGTGTGGGAAACAAAAGATGACAAGATGACCAAAATTTGTAGAATTTATCGATTGTGTAATACATAGGCAGTAAACAAAAGTTGAGAACAGAATTATTGTGTGGGAAACAAAAGATGACAAGATGACCAAAATTTGTAGAATTTATCGATTGTGTAATACATAGGCAGTAAACAAAAGTTGAGAACAGAATTATTGTGTGGGAAACAAAAGATGACAAGATGACCAAAATTTGTAGAATTTATCGATTGTGTAATACATAGGCAGTAAACAAAAGTTGAGAACAGAATTATTGTGTGGGAAACAAAAGATGACAAGATGACCAAAATTTGTAGAATTTATCGATTGTGTAATACATAGGCAGTAAACAAAAGTTGAGAACAGAATTATTGTGTGGGAAACAAAAGATGACAAGATGACCAAAATTTATAGAATTTATCGATTGTGTAATACATAGGCAGTAAACAAAAGTTGAGAACAGAATTATTGTGTGGGAAACAAAAGATGACAAGATGACCAAAATTTGTAGAATTTATCGATTGTGTAATACATAGGCAGTAAACAAAAGTTGAGAACAGAATTATTGTGTGGGAAACAAAAGATGACAAGATGACTAAAATTTGTAGAATTTATCGATACTATTACCTATGAGAGTTGTGTATTTTGTAGGCATGTAACATTTGTAAATCTCCTTTTTTTAAAAAACTGGAAGTTCGGTACCTTTTTTGAATATCTATATTTAAACATTGCGAATTTACAAAGTAAGATAATTACATTTATAGGATCGTTGTGTCGCTGATCAAATCCAAGCAGAATGTTTTTTCTTGTTAATGAGAGCTAAACTTGAATGTCATCTGATAGCCACTCTTCCAGTTTTTGCCATATGCGTTTCACTTTGCTACAGTCTGCCAGTGCATGGGAAATAGATTATATACTAACAAAAACTACATGTCTCCGAATTAACTTGTCCTATTTTAAAAAGTCTTCTGTTTGTTGGTAGTATATGATGTAATACTTTATACTGGAACCATTGCAGTTCAGTATCTTTTGTGCATAGGAATGGTATATGGTTATAAGTATGCCACACGCTTAAATCGAGATCGTTTTCTAAAATATGGTTCCATTTTGCACAATGTTGGTTATTGACATTAAATTTTTTCATCAAGGTTCTGTAGTATGACTGGCTATTGCCATTCAGTAGTTCAGACAGATATGTAGGTATGAATGGCTTTTGAAAGGTCTGTATGTCCTTAAAGTCGACAAAGTGTATTGAGCAATATTGTTTTAGTGCGCTTATTATTCCTCTATAACTTAAAAAGTTGTTCACATTGTATTTGTCGTTAAACTGTTTAGAAGCAAAACGATGGTTTAGTTTTGGAATGATTAGAGATTTTAATACAGTGATCCTTCCAAGAGGTGATAGGTTTCGGACAGACCAGATATGCATGAGTGTCTCACAGTGTCTCAACTTCTCTTTGTAATTAGAATCTATCATGTTTTCCAAGTCTATGTCGAATTTTATCCCAAGGAGTACAAAGTTACCTTGATCCCAATTTAGTTTCCAATATTTTCATTCTACTGCGTTTTTTGGAACCAAAGCAAATAATTCTTGTTTTATCGACATTGACTTTAAGTCCGGAGATGTTGCAAAAAATGTTCGTACTTGTAGCACTGATTGTAGACTGCGTTCTGAACCATCTAAGACGCATGATGTGTCATCAGCAAACTGATTCAGTAGGTATTCAATATTATCTACCTTAATTCCTTTTATATTTGCATTGTTTCTTATCATAATTGCTAATATTTCCGCACAAAGGATAAACAGATAAGGGGATAAATGGTCCCCAAGACGACAACCTCTAGAAATGTTAAAGGTAGCTGAGCCAAAACCATTTACGAGAACACTAGATTTAATATCGCTGAAAAAAATACCTTTACCAATTTTTTTATAGATTGTCCAAAGTTAAAAAACGGTAAAACCTTATGTAGGAAGGGCCATTCAACCGTATCGAAAGCTTTCTCAAAGTCTACTAACAAACGAAGGCCAGGAATTTGGTAAGTATCAGTTTATTCTATTAAGTCATATATTTGTCTTGTAATATCTCCTATGTATCAACCCGACATAAATCCTTTCTGGTCTTCATTATTAATAGGTCAAGAACCGATTTAATACGACGTGATATTGCTAAAGAAGCTATTTTGTAAAATCAAATAGTGACGAAATTGGGCGCCAATTCTTTAAATACTGTTTTGGCTTATTCCCCCTAGGAATAGAGGTAATAAGTCCTATTTTTTTAGAAATGGAAATTCGCCTTTTTCAAAACCACAGTTAAGTGATCCTACAAGAAATTTTCCAATGTCTTTCCAAGAGAATTTTATAAATTCCGCCGTAAATCCGTCAGGACCAGGACTCTTTTCATTCTTAAGATATTTTGAGCAGTAAGTACTTCAGTTTCTGTTAATTTGCCTTCGAGACAGTTGGAAGTGCTTTCGTCTAGTTTTTGAACGTCATATTCACTAAGAATCTGCCCAAGATTAATTTCAGAGACGTCATGTTTACAGTATATTTTCTTATAGAAAAGTTTGACTTCGCTTTGAATATCAGTAGGATTGTCGAGCAAACGCCCATTTGAATCTTCTATTTTAGTGAATGATTTATTCAGAAAGTTTCGCGACTCTAGACTCAGAAAATAGGAGGTTGGTTTTTCACCCTGTTCTATCCAGGTTGCTTTTGCTCTTATCATTTGCCCTTGAGTTTTTACCCTTATAATATCTTCTAGTTCTAGTTGCAATTTCTTGATTTCGTTCAATAAAGTTTGTTTCATATCTTCCTTTTCACATTCGTCCAATTTAATTTCTTTACATTTTAACGTTTCCAATAATTCTTGTTCTTTTTTGTTTCTCTCTTTTTTCTTGTATGAAGAGTACTTTATGGTTTCTCCTCTTATCATTAATAATAGAGTTTCAAAGAAAAGTTGGCCATCGATCGAAAATTCATTTGCAGAATCACTATTATCATTTTTGTATTGTATAGTTTCAGATATGACATTTCTTATTTTTTTCACAGAATCTGGATCTCTCAAAAGCGAATTGTTGAATTTCCAATACCCTCTCCCCCTTTGCATATCTGTGAATGTTATCGATACAGGGGAGTGGTCAGACTTGAAACTGGGTTCAATAGATGTATTAGTTATAGATGATAACATATTGTGGGAAACTAAGAAATAGTCGAGTCGAGCCTGTTTTAGCGGAGTAGGCTGTCGCCAGGTGTACCTTCTGTCTGCATGGTGACTGTATCGCCAAGGGTCAATTAAGTCGAGTTCATCTTTGAACTTCTCAATACGCCCATGGGCATTTTTTATTATTCATCTGGTTGTAATTATATGTATCCATAAAGAAATCATGGACTACGTTCCAATCGCCACAAATTACAATGTGATCGCTGCTTAAAGATTTTGTCATAAAACTTTGGATCATCAATATTTGGTCCATACAAATTTATCAATCCAGGTTTATATTTATCTATCGTGATTTCAATTATAATCATATTGCCCTTATCATCAAAAAAGATAGTGTCAAGATTAAACGCAAGATTATTTGAAAAGAGTATGGCGACACCACGAGCGTTACTTTTATATGAGCTAAAGAAGCAATGTTTGTTACCCCGTTCTTGGCATATTGTCTGTTTCATATCTTCAGTAAAATGTACATCTTGCAAACAGTATATTGTGGACCTTTTACGCTTAAGAAAATTAAATGTCTGCAATCATGGCAAACGCACAAGTCAATGTCGATTACGTTAAAATGTACAAGGTGGTGAAAATTTGAATTCTGATATAACCAGGATGTTGTAAAACATAACAGGTATGTCATCTGTATGTTAATAAACATAATGACACTTATTTCACAATAAGACCCAAGCCTACTATCAAGACCCCTTATGATACAGGGGGGGCACGGATGGCCCAGTCGTCTCAGGCGCTGCGATTCGCTGTGCAGAGTTGCGTCCCTTGGGCACACCAGAAACCTATGATTGTGGGTTCGAATCCCGGTTCACCCCGATTATGTTTCTAGGTTTGTCAGCACCATACCCGTGCTCGTTGGTTTTACCGAAGTGGTAAACGTCCTAGACCTGCATCACTTCGGGCTTAAAATTTCCTCCCACATTAAGCTGACACGCCGCGATATAACTGGAATACTGTTAAAAGCGGCGTTAAACCCAACTCACTCACTCACTCACTCACTCACCTTATGATACAGTGAGCACCAGCCGCCACTTAATCCTCATGTTGTCCCCTATCAGTATTGGGAAAGTTGTGGGACACCCAATTGAGGGTCAATGTTACTTCTTAAAACAGATAAACAGTAGCCATTAGACAACCCAGGTATGGTCAGGGATGAATGACTTTGCCTGTTAGACAAAGTAGGCATGTGGTTCAATCCATTTTACTGTGAACAGGGAAGCACGAAATTAAAACCAAAAAGACAAATTTTCTTGCATCATATATTTGTCTTTGCACATAAAAATAGCCACACGCATAATGTTGTCAACAATTATTCGACACAGACACTTCACTCTTCACAACAAGCATAAGAATCACAATTATCCCACATAGACACTTCTCTGTTCACGACAAGCATACGATTCAACAATTATTCCACATAGACACTTCACTGTTCACAAAACGCATAAGATTCAACTGTAGTTTGAAGTATTTCAAACGACATTTTTTCTATAATTTGCTATTAATCTCTTTGTCAAACTATGTTATTTCACTTACGTTTCTTGATTGAAAAAACCCTTTACTCTTATCCAATTACTAAGAATTTAAATAAATACACTGCTTTATTAATCTCCATCAATGGGCATTGGGGTGTTTAGGTAGGGACAACTCGAGATGGAGATTAATAAAGCAGTGTATTTATTTAAATTCTTAGTAATTGGATAAGAGTAAAGGGTTTTTTCAATAAAGAAACGTAGGTGAAATAACATAGTCACAAACAGAGACAACAAATTCTGTGCATCATGGAGTATGTCTTATTCACAGAGGTGCAAAGAACAAGTTCTTTCACAAAGATCTGTTCGCTGAATTGTTTTCATACATGAATGAATCAACATTAAATCATAAATTACTATGTATATGGTTTGTTAATTGTATTACATTTATACTCTTCGGCTTTCCTCAGGAATTCAAGCTCACACACCGTGACACACCTGAAATACTGTTGAAAGCTTTGTTACACCCCATTCCATTACTCACTCTCATGTGACGATGTATGATGAGTAAATCAGGCACCGATCAGAATTAATTATATCGATTTGGTGGTTGCGAAATAATCCACACATTTAGGATTCTGGAAACAGAAACAAAACAATGTCTTTCGCATTCCTTGACAGACAGATAGATAGATAGTTTATTTGAGTCTAACCTCATGTTTACAAATAAAACGTTATATAATGTGATATAAAATGAAAAAAACAATCTCTTAATAAAATACAGAATAATCCAGAAAATACAATTATGGTTACGTGAAAACTGTCACCATATATGATGTTAATATAGTTATATTTCGACTGGAACTTGGGATCGGTAAACGAAACAATTCTTATTTAAATACCTTTCCCTATATAAGGGCGATCGGGTAGCCTAGTGGTAAAACCGTTCGCTCTTCACGCCGAAGACCCGGGTTCGATTCCCGACATGGTTACAATGTGTGAAGCCCATTTCTGGTGTCCCCCACCTTGATATTGCTGGAATATTGCTTAAAGTACTCACTCACTCACTCCCTATATAAAAAATAAAGTGGCAAGGTAGTCAAGGTTTATATAATTACACAACATAGTCCGGTTTTGAGAATGATGGGATTATACGTAAAATTAGTTGCTACATAATATGCACAAGATACATATACACTCTTCAAAAAAAGAAACGCACAGGCAGATTTTTAGTAAATTTATTGTACCTTATAAAGTCGATATATTTAATTTAGTATATTAGATACAAATATGAAGTTTTGGAGCCCGATAGTCACATGTTGCCGTTGTACAAAGGCATTGAAAACTGTTTATTGTCATGTCGCATAAGGCCACAAGGTGGCGCTGATCTCAGTTTCTCGTGTGACCGCCCAGGGCAGCAATCACGGCTCTGCATCTCCTCGACACTGAGTGGATAAGTGTACGAATTCTGTCCTATTCTACTTGTAACGCGCTGGCCAGTTGTGGGAGTGCCTGCGGCGTGTTCTGACGTTGACGTACACGTTCATCGAGTTCATCCCAGTGGTGTTCGATTGGGTTTAGATCTTGAGATCTCGACGTCCAGGGCAAATCGTTGGTGTTGACATTATGAAGGTAGTCTACCGTGACACGCTGTAAGGTATGGTACCAACGCAAGCGTCGCTGTCGATGGATCTGTTGTAAAACATGGACTATAACTTGTCTTCTGGGTCGGATTCCAGCCTCGCGAAGATGGTTCCTGGCAGTCTGGTCCGATATCCTCCTCAAACCAGGGATGCGTCCTGCAGTCTCCGTAGCTGTGGCATTGCGATGACGTAGGTGGAACCGTCGAATGTGGCGATCCTGTGCATAGGTGGTAACTGTCGGTTCTCGGACGGTCTGCAGTGGAATTCAACTGTGTGTATCGGTCCCAAAGGCGACAAATGGTGCTGTGGTGGACGTTGAAGTGGCATGCAACAGAAGACTGCGATTCCCACTTTGGATTCCGTCCTATGGCGATGTTCCGATCGGCAGTGCTGAGTCTCAGCGTCTTCGAACTTGAAAAATGTTGACAATTGAATGACAAATTAACGGCTTATGCTTGCCTTTTTATAGTCACTACCACGAGTTACGAATGCCAGAACTTGCACATGCATTTTGCTTTACTGTTTTCCTCCATGACATTTTTTAACAAGTGTGAAAACAATGCCGTATAAGACATTTCAAATCGACAATGGCTGCGTTTTGACGCACCGTTTGTCGAATATCAGGCCTTTTTTTGCATAGTCAGGTTCAATGAACTACCTGTGCGTTTCTATTTTTTAAGAGTGTATATTTGATGTGTTTGTTTAGAGTATTAACTTAGTTTATATCCAGAATTTGTGATGATACGGTATTACGTCAACTACCTGTACACAATACCGTTGGGGATTCGCCTGTGAACAACGCTACAATTTGATAATAACTGGAAAGGTGCCGCTAGTGTAGTGGCCATTTTATTTATGATTCATTTCGACCTGCTCTCTTGTCTAGAAAATAATGGAACTCATGTAGACCTAAGTTTGCCCGGATATTCCCTCCTTCCCCATAGCGACCTGTTTGTAATTTTGGTTGGCAGAAGCAAACTTCAATAATTGCTTCTCAGAATTGTGAATTGTGATATTGTCAACAAATATTGTTTAATCAACCAACATGTTAATCGTATTCTCCATTAACCTATTCACTTTAACGCATAAGAAAATATACTTATATTATGTACATATGTTGATTTAAACATATATATATATATATATATATATATATGGTAGTATATATATATATATATATATATATATATATGAAATCCGGATTGTTAAACAAATTGTTTTAAGATAGTTTGGGCCATTTCTTTCGGCAGTGTAATGGGTAAATTTTAAGTATATGACAATAAGCATATTTGTAAAACACATTGACTCTTTTATCTCTCATCTTCATTTTGAAGATGTGTAAAATGCACGTGATGAACACGGGAGTACTCCGCCATGATAATCATTCTATATTCGAGACTGTACATTTACTGTCATTATTAGTGAGTGAGTATGGTTTTACGCCGAGTTTATCAATATCCCAGCAATTTCAGGCAAGGTATACCAGAAATGGGCTTCACACATTGAATCGAAGCGCATCTTCGGCGTGACGAGTGAAAGTTTCAAAACCAAGGCTACCACACCGCTTCATCATGTTCAGCAATTTAAAAATATACAAATACAGACCAACCAATTAAACATTAAACTATGGTTTTAATAATGCACACATAGTAACTGTTAATAAAAGCGACAAAACCCTTTGAATATTTATAAGAAATCTCTGCTAAAAGCAGAGTCGATTGTACGAGTCCGACTATTATCATGAGCATGTGTTTATACATCACTATCAAATAGTGATGATACCAGGTGTTCGTGAAAAGGTGAGCGTATCCCGCCCCACCTTTGGCACCCGTCACAAACTACCCTCCTAAGTTGGGATAACACGTAAAGAATGGAAGAACTCTCCAAAAAAAGAATATCAGGGGAAGTTTGTGTTCAATTTTGATATTTTGGACTACCAAATGAGTTCGAAGCAACCGTGAATTCGACACGTCTAATTTCGACTCAACGAGGTTCGACTGTTTTGTTATTTGAAATGAGAAACAAAGGTGTTCAACTGTGTGTGACATCACTGTCAAACATTTAATGATATTTCATCTTCTGAAAAATACCTTGTCAATTGGGATAATAGTTTCCATTTTCAAAAAAAGAAATGCAATATACTTAACCATCTAATCAATTATTTAATTTGTTGAGACACACTCGTGCACTTGAAGAGAGAGTATGTTTTAATTGTAAAGATGTTGTGGAAAATGAAGCACATGTACTTTTACACTGCCCCCTATATAAAAATGTTACCTAAGAATATGTTAGTTTTATGTTCAACGTTATATGCCAATTTTTATGATATGTCTGATGTTGATCAGTTAGCTTTTATTATGTCATGCCCATATATTTTTAAAGTTACTGCCAAAACCTGCATTGATGCCTTAGATGTTAGAAAATTACGTTTATATACATATTTAATAAATATTTTATGCTATTTACCCTTTTTACTAACGTATATATATATTTATTCCATATGTTATGTCTGTGTATCATTTTACGTTCTATAGTCTCTCATAATCCCATACGGGGTGGCTCATCTCATGTATTTTATTACGTGACCTGTATATATATTTATTTGTATGAGGTGAGACATGAAATAAATTTACCTTACCTTACCTTACCGTGCAACTTTTCGTGACTCATGTTTGGCGGGTTCGTCGACAGACAGATGGATTAATGGCGCACGTTATTGTAGCCGGATTAAACAGATTAGCACAAATTGTCTTGTCGACAGTAATCCCCTTTCAGTGTCCTTCTGAAGTAATACTAGTTTGAGGTATTATTGTTGGCAGGGCCAAATGAAATCAATGGGAGACAGGTGACAGAACGATTCCTCATTTGACAGTTTAACAAAGGAGATAAGTAGTTTGTGTTTCTAGCAATGTTTTGATAACTACACATATCTGCCTTTACAGAGAGACCGACATAATACGGTTTTTATTTCCCACCAAATTAGTTCACCAACCTTTGAAAACAATGGGGATTAAGTCACAACTTAATTAATGACACATGTAGCAATGGTTTTCTAGTCATTGTTGAAGCTAAGACTTAATATGTACGTTTGTGTATAAATGCAGCTGAGGTACAATGCCCACCCAGTATTTGTGGGAAAGCCTATTTTAGCATTGCAACCATGGCAAAAGGAAACGCTGCTTCATTTCGGGGCATGATAGTGGCAGTATTTGGCACAACTCTGTTTGTAATGGGTTATATCAGCTCTCATTTTAAACCAGTCAGAAACCTGGAGATATCTTTGGACTCCAAAAAGACGGCATTTCATCCCCCTAATCCTATAAGAGTGGACAATTATAACTTCAGATGTCCAAGCGTTCTGCAAAACATGACCCAAGGTCATTGGAGGACGAGAAAGCTTACCGAGGCCCAACGCAGACAATCAGAATGGTTTTATCACATGGCCTTGAACCACAAAGGAGTACCCAATTCCCTCCAGAGACATGACAGTCGATGTGGTGACATAGGCTACACAAACGTAACGACTTTTCTTCGAGCAATTTGCAGTCCTACAGGACCGACCCCTTGCTGCTACAACTTCAAGTGTGTTAAAAAGACAGAAGCCCAGTGTCGGTGTAAAAACTGTTGGGATATTCGACAGCAGATTCACGCAGAATATTCTACCTGGATACCATCCGATCCCCGGTGCCAACCACGACAATACAGTGCCAAACAAAGCTGTCAGTTGTTGGACGGCGGAACCATCCGCTTCCTTGGGGATTCCCTCGTGCGACACATCTACACAGGCTTGCTGATGACGGTTCGAGGCAATTTCAAAGACGGCGGAGTTAAACCCACAGAATCCCGAGGTCAGTATTTGCGTTGAAACAATACGGGCAGGTAATTTATTACTGGTTTGGGTTGGTTGTGGTGTTGATCAGAGATTTTTTAATTCAGTAATATACTGAAAACAATTATCCTCCCCTGTTGCTTCGTCATATTTTTGGATAACCCTCTTAATGTCTATGTACAATTTTTCATGACCCTCTATAAAAAAGACAAAATGCAAAAGCGCTTTATTTTTTATGATAAAATGTCATTCTTTTCATGGTACACTATCTTGTACTTGTCTTGACAATGTGTCTTGAATTTCTCGCAGCATCGTATAAGATCTGTGGAACATTCACCAGAGAATTGTCATGACATTTTGTTACTCATTCAGGTATACATTAAAACACGTATCAGGGAACACACCCAGTAGTATACAATGCACCTTTCATATCTAGATTTAGATGTTTTACCATCTGTGAAATGAGACATTGAGTATAATCTTTTAAGGCCTTGGTTGATATACAGCTTAAACCATTGAGGTAGCACACGACGTGTAGCGGATGTTCCAGCGACAAATTGCTTTGTAAAGCAGTAGTTTTGAGGGGTCATACTTCACATGCCACTGTAACCATTAACCCCTTGTGCGTTGAACATCATGAAAAACTAGGATCAAACGTGCAAGGACAAATTTATTTATTTTAAATTCTTTGACCCGACTTCTCGGTGTTGGATATACGCAATATCTTGCCTGATAAAGTTAGAGTATCTGCACATAAATAATAGAAACCCTGTCTTCACTGATACCTATGTAAATGCCACTTAATTATTTAGTCATGGCTACCAATCAACGTTTACAAGTGGCGTCTTTATCTTTTTCAGTGTGGAAATCCAAATGCTCTGGGATGAACATGTTCGAAGAGAGAAACTGTAGGAGGCGATTGGACGCGCAGCCAAAGAATATATGTAGAGGCAGAGTGACGCTCAGTTGGAAGAAACATTACGTTAGCAGAAGATGGGCAGAGCTTATAAATGAAGTCACAGAAGGCTTAGCTGACCGGCGGACGTTGTTTGTTGTTGGTATAGGTATTCATGAGGATTATAACTCAACTAAAGTGAAGATGGAATATCTGAAGCCAACGTTGGATAGGTTACGAAAAATTGGTATACTCTGGCCCAAGGTATTGTTTGTTGATATGAATGCTCCAGGAATTATGAAACGTTCAGATACACAGTCAAAGCCTCACGTCCTTCGATTCAATCGCGACATGGAGAAGTTTCTGAAGGTATATAAAGTACCCGTTTTAAAGACATTTAATATGACAGACGGCGTGCGTAGCTTTGATGGAACGCATTATGCCTTAGGAGTGAATGTCGTGAAAGCGAACATTCTCCTGAACTATATACAGGAACTCAGTGATAGTGGGGTTTGGTAGTTGATTATGGAAATACGATTGACAATAAGCACCATGTTGTCGTGTGAGATATGTACATTTTGTGGTGTTGTAAAATACCAGATGATATGCGCTTTGGATATTTATATACAGATGGTCAATAAATAAATCGCTCGATCTCTGTCTTTCTGTTGACTCGTAATTCCGAGCTCCGACGTATGAACAGGATTGGGTGGTCAGGCTCGCTGACTTGGTTGACGCATGTCACCGTATCCCAATTGTGGATCGATGCTCATGATGTCAATCACTCGATTGTTTGTTCCAGACTCGATTATTTACAGCCGTTATGTAGCTGGAATAATGCTGAGTACGGTTAAACAAAAAACAAAACATCATATGCAATCATAGCAAACGCACAAGTCAATGTCGATTACGTTAAAATGTACATGGTGGTGAAATTTTGAAGTCTGATACAACCATGATGTTGTAAAACATAACAGGTATGTCATCTGTATGTAAATACCATTAATGACACTTATTTCACAATAAGACCCAATCCCACTATCAAGACCCTTTATATTACAATGGGCACCACCCGCGACTTAATCCCCATGTTGTTATACCCCTACCAATGTTGGGAAAGTTGTGGGACACCTAATTGGGGGTCAAGGTTACTTCTTAAAACAGTAGCCATTAAACAACCCAGTTATGGTCAGGGATGGCTGACTTTGCTTGTTAGACAAAGTAGGCATGTGGTTCAATCCATTTTACTGTGTACAGGGAAGCACGAAATTAAAACAAAAAAGACAAATTTTCTTGCATCATTTATTTGTCTATCTTTGCACTTGCCGTGGCCCAGTCGTCTAAGGCGCCGCGATTCGCTATGCAGAGTTGCGTCCCTTTGGCACGCCAGAAACCTATGATTGCGGGTTCGAATCCCGGTTTCTATGTTTGTCAGCACCATACCCGTGCTCGTGGGTCTCACCGAAGTGGTAAACGTCTGAGACCTGCATCACTTCGGGCTTTCCTCCCACATTAAGCTGACATGCCGTGATATAACTGGACTACTGTTAAAAGCTGCGTTAAACCCAACTCACTCACTCACTGTTCACAACGCGCATAAGATCCAACTGTGGTTTGAAGTATTTCAGTTACAAAGAGTTCAAACGAGTTCAAGCTCACACACCGTGACACACCTGAAATACTGTCGAAAGCTTTGTTACACCCCATTCCATTGCTCACTCTCGTGTGACGATGTATGATGAGTAATAACGCAAACCCCGGGACGCACTCAGTGTAGCTGCGTTCGTGATTGCCTCACAAAGACTGTCATATTTCTGTCACATTATAAACAGTTTAGTTGAAGGCGCGGTGAAAAAAGTTTCCGTGGGAAGAGTCTGATCGATTAAATAGAAATCAAAATCTTTGTTGTCATCTACGGTTTTCTCCATCATCCTGAGAGGAGCTTATGCCCCCTCGAGGGTCGGTCGGGTAGACTAGTGGGTAAAGCGTTCGCTCGTCACGCCGAAGTCCCGGGTTCGATTCCCGACATGGGTACAATGTGTGAAGCCCATTTCTGGTGTCCCAGGTCATGATATTGCTGGAATATTGCTAAAAGCGACAAGAAACCATACTCAACCACTCTTGCCTGGAGCGGAGAAGGGGGTGAGAGTGGAATGGGGGTGAACATTATATCTCCAGGTCTGCCCCTTCTGACCTACACAGCCTATATTATATGTAAGAAATGCTGGACATGGGATGATAACATTCAGTCCGCTTAGACTGGCAAAATCTAAACAAGGGAACCTTGCCAAGAAGTAAACTTCAGCTTCAGGTATATCGATGATCTTAATCGTTAAAAATGGTCCAATAGGCAACTCCTTTCCACCGTTTTACACACCTGAACTAGAAATAACCGAGACCAGTGAGACCGTCTTATCTGTTTCATATTTAGATCTATGCATAAAGATTCAGAGTGACTCTCCACAAGACAGTATGACAAGAGAGATGACTTCAACTTTCCAATAGTCAACTTCCCTTAATGGCGACCAATATTCCAGCAGCTCAGCCCTAAATGTCTACATTTCACAACTTTGAAGGTAGACGCTGTGTGTCGGGATCCCTTTACATCGGCAACCATAACATCACCAGATGCGGCCGGACATGTCAGCGATGGGACACCCACACACCCCATCAACAGTTCGGTATGCAAGACTACCCTTCCACCATGCAAACACAAGTCACCAGTATGGCGGAGGCGGGCAACAGGTGCTTGACAGAGTTCAACGACCCCATACCGTGGTGTTATACCACCGATCCCGCACTGCGTTGGGAACACTGCAGCATTCCGAATTGTTAGGATGTTGCAGACGTCACTGGGAATACTGCAGTATACCTCATTGTCAGGGTGTTGCAGATTGTACTGGAAATATCTACCGAACATGCTCCTTCCACCACGATTTCAAAGAACGTCAAAGAACGATTCTTGCTCAAAAGTTGTTTTATTCAAGGTCACAACATGCAAGGCTTCAGTGAAGCTTTCAAAAAAGGTTTACGGTAATCATGTGGAGGACATTTCCAAATTTAAGGCATCAGTGACAAACGTGATGTCTGATGCATTTCCCTATTTTCATAAGCCGCCTCCGTGGCCTCCGGGGTTCGATCCCCGGCCGCGTCATACCAAAAGACGTTAAAAGATGGTACTTGTTGTTACCCTGTCTGGCGCTCGACAATAAGGGGATAAAACAAGGACTGGTCGGCTCGGAGTCAGTATACTGTGTCTGAGTGGGGTATTCATGTTAAACTGCGGCATGGTATCTCAGTGAGCTAGCACTATAAATCGGCATCAGTCCGGACTAGTACAAGCAGCCACACACACACACGTACATGCACGTCGCTATATAAGTGCAATAATCTTGGACGCGACGTTAAACCCAATTTCACCCAACCCTCACTCACCCTATTTTGATAGTGATTCAGAAACACAGGCTCATGATGTAGTCGGAGTTGCATGATGGACTCTGCTTTTAGCACATATTTCTTGTGAGTGTGGTTTTTGGTGGGGATTTCTTGTGATTGTGGAAATTGCCTTTGTACGCTTTTTATTATTAATTGAAACACGTCTGTGACGTCATTCTATTGTTTGAACGCTCCATTATTTTTCAGGAATGGAGAGTTCTTTGTCAATTATACAATATCTTGAATCAACATTTGAATGAATTTCCACTTGGAATAGACGAAACTATTTTTCACATTTATTGACAAGTGAATAATTTCAACTTTTTTTCCGAAAACATGTGTCGCCAGGCGGGGTTCGAACCCGCATCGTTTGATTTGAGGACGTGTAATTGTCAACTTCAGCTACGGCGGTGTAATTGTCAACTTCAGCTACGGCGGTGTAATTGTCAACTTCGACTATGGCGGCCCATGAAGGTATGGTGTGAAATTAAGTAATAAATATTTCATAATTTTGCATACAATGTTTGAGTAGAACAAAAACAAATCAGGTGATATATATATATATATCCTTGTTCGGGGCTCTATATTTCCTATTATTCTCGACAGCTTAAAATGGCAATGTGCAAGCGATTGTTAAATACTAGTTCAGGACATAACGAAATTATGAAGAGCCATGTACCATGCATTGTAAATGTCAGCTCGCGACGGAGCTTGGTGCACGTGCAACAGCGACAGAGAACGTATTCCTCGTGCATCACGCAAGGGCGACTCACGCAGTTTCAAAACAGTTCATTCGTCACGAATGAAAACAGTTTAGAGTTCTGGTTTATTTTTCAAATATTTTCCACAACAGAATATTTTGTCAAAGTGTAAAAATAGGGATGAATTTGAAGTAGGGGAATATCCTCGTAACTCTCCATTCCCCTCCACATATATGTTCTGGTGTCTGAGAGAGAATGCCATCGGCGTTTCTCGTCTCGGGGTTTAAATGGCCTTTTCAACGATTAAACATCGGATCGTCGTGGGCTAACCTGAACATAAATTGGAATGTACTGTACAATGGCCTGTAGCCGACATAGACACACAACCACTTAATACTGGGACCGACATTTTAATGTTCTGTTTCAAGACATACACAAAATAATTCATGAAAGAGGGCGTTGTGTTTATTCACAACAGTATTTTCTGGGACAAATTATTTGGTTTAAAAGGAAACTCCCACCACAATATTATATCTCCAGGTCTACCCCTTCTGACTTACACTGCCTTGTGCATCGCTATCCGCCATTTTCTACAATCTCATCAAAGCAGTCGCCTATTGAGAACTCGTGTATTTCTATACAACGAGCTGGGCGACCAAGCGATTTCAGTTATGCACCAATGCGTTCTTTTAAACAGGTTTTCCTTCATCCAGACCCGTGAAGATCCGATGTAGAATAGGTTTTCAGCAACACATGCTTGCCTTAAAAAGCGACTATGCACCGTAATGGATATATTTATGGATACAGGTCTGTGGCTATATTTGTTTGAGGTAAGATATTCAATTCAATTAATGTCGTACATATCTGTACATTTGGGCATGCAGAGTGTAGCAGGACTACATCTGGGGAAAGGAGTAATTCGTAAGCCTGCAATACTTGTAACAAAGATCGCCTTAGACATGTAAGATGTGGGCTGCCGTTGCCCTTTTTCGTGTAAATAGGTCGAGGTTATAATCCTCATTATACCAACGATGCATAATTATATTTCAAGTTTCGAAGGATATTAATATAACTAATGTTATCTATGTTATATGTATTAATATGCGTTTAACACACGATATAAATACACACATGTATGTATGTATGTATGTATATATATGTGTGTGTGCGTGCGTGCGTGCGTGCGTGCGTGCGTGCATGCGTGCGTGTATGCATGTATGTACTGTCGGACGCACTAATACTATACTTATACTCTACCCACTAAATACCTACTCAATACCTTCTACCTACATCAACAAAACAAAGTCAATACTCCTTGTCATGGTTACGTGCATTTTCTAAATGCCTGAAAAGACTTTTGTGCTGACATATGTGTAGTATTTGGGTGTGGTCCCGTGAGTAATCACCTTCTATGAAGACGTTGCAAGAATAGTGTTCCTGTTCTATTTTTGAAATCCAATGTGTTTAATTGCTGAACCCATTGAAGAATAAATTGTCAATTTACATTTTTCCTACACATGTGACTGTCATAAATAGATACAGGCCTCGATTTAGTTGTAACATTAATGAAATCACCCTAGGGTATTCCGGGTTAGGAAATTGCCCCCAACACTCGTACTTCTTTGTCTATCAGGCAACTGAACTAAATCAGGCTCATGACTTACTATTCATTGTCTGTCGTTCTATTCCCTCAGCGTAGGACGTTGCTCAAAATATTAGTTATATACAGGCTGTCGTGATACAGGGGAATAGTGCTTGATGCGGAGTTAAATTATACTTACTCACTCTCTCAAGGTAAAGGAACGCCAGAGGAACAGAACAGGTATCCTCTCTGGATGACTTGCGTAACATGACATATTACAAAACCTCGAGATGTGCACCAAGTCTGATTATTAAAGCCTCACAATGTTATAGATATATAAACTGAACTGTACTTTTACAGCGATGGTAGATATGGAAGCATAATAGTTCGTCATCTACGAAAACAATACTTTCATCTACGTAGATGATACTTACATCTACGTATTTACCTTCATCTACGTAGATGATACTTATATCTACGTAGATGATACTTACACCTACGTATTTACTTTCATCTACGTAGATGATAGTTACATCTACATATTTATCTTCATCTACGTAGATGATACTTATATCTACGTATTTACCTTCATCTACGTAGATGATACTTATATCTACGTAGATTATACTTATATCTACGTAGATTATACTTATATCTACGTAGATTATACTTACATCTACGCTGATGATACTTACACCTACGTATTTACTTTCACCTACGTAGATGATAATTACGACTACGTATTTACTTTCATCTACGTAGATGATACTCACACTTACGTATTTACCTTCATCTACGTAGATAATACTTTAAGCTAACCTATATAATAACCATAACATGGCCGAATGTGTTGATTCTCATGATTTTTCCACTGCGAAAATTAGGTTTAAGAGGTAAAACGTGAATATGAAGAGTGATAATCACTTAAACCATGACACTATATCAACTGTCATCCAATAAAACACCGAGGGTACATTTCTGCAGTCGGTGTTTATAATTTGGCGCTGATACTTCGCCAGTTTATTGACCTCAGTATGTTGTACAAATGTGGAAAAATCCTAATGAAAATAAACGACCAACATGCTCCCAAACATTTAATTAAATTAACAGAATGAAATATAAATGTTTGTATAAACTAGTTTCCAACTAGGGCCCCTACTTCACAAGACAATATAAGTGTCTGAGTAACGATACGTACGATTATGATATCACATACGTAGATATTGACCAAAAATATTATGCTCCAAACTTTTGCGGAAAAATGGAAATTTGCTGCCACAAAAATTACATTGTTACAACGTGTTCTTCTGTTAAGAAAATTCCGGCTAATAATTTTTCAAATAATAAATGTCTGGTTTTATAACTGTAGCTGCAAAAAAGTTCTCGAGAACTTTTCCAGTCCCCAAGCTCCGAATGTTAAATGGTCGGCCCCTAACTCAACCTGTCAATACATCCGGAATGTACTCTATTCCAGAAACAATGTTACACATGAAATTATACACATCTAGATCGAGAGCAAAATGAAAACAGTCCCTCTTTAATGAGTGTTTACATGATGCATAGTTATATATAATTACATTACAGATGTCGACCCATCCACAAACAAAGGTCTTTGAATTTGAATAAACGAGATATAAAAAAGGGCAAAGGCGCCATAGCCTGAAAATATGTCAGAATAATCAGAAGACTTTGGCCGACGATAACTGACCCAACCACCTTCGTTATATCAGCTCCAACTTTTTACCATTCAAGAGGTTCTCATTGACTCCCTAAAGATAAGATATTATTCCTGTCGTCCAGTGAATAACTCAAAATGTCCAAAGTCGGCAGCTCTCCAAGGCTGAACGTGCAAGCTATTGATGGTTTGCCCAGTGTGTAGATCACTGGAAATAGATGGTAAATGCTATACATTGAATATATGTCATACATTATTAAGGTTTACATGACGGTTTTTTTCTTGCAGACGCAAAGTCCAGTAAGGTAGTTGAATTAATCGAGTTCCAGGGCATATATTTCATAAAACATTATCATGCCATTCTCATCTCTCTCAGTCTACACATTCACATTCTCGCATATACTCATCCCATTCTCGGCTCTCCCAGCCAATACTCATCCCATTCTCGGCTCTCCCAGCCAATACTCATCCCATTCTCAGCTCTCCCAGCCAATACCCATCCCACTCTCAGCTCTCTCAGCCAATACCCATCCCACTCTCAGCTCTCTCAGCCAATACTCAATCCTTCTCTCAGCTCTCTCAGCCAATACTCATCCCATTCTCAGCTCTCCCAGCCAATACTCATCCCATTCTCAGCTCTCCCAGCCAATACTCATCCCATTCTCAGCTCTCCCAGCCAATACTCATCCCATTCTCAGCTCTCCCAGCCAATCCTCATCACATTCTCAGCTCTCCCAGCCAATACCCATCCCACTCTCAGCTCTACCAACCTATACTCATTCCATTATCAGATCTCTCAGACAATACCCATCCCATTCTCAGGTCTCTCAGTCTATACTCGACCCGTGAAGATTCCGGGGTAGAATAGGTCTTCAGCAACCCATGCTTGCCGTAAAAGGTGACTATGCTTGTCGTAAAAGGCGACTAACGGGATCGGGTGGTCAGGCTCGCTGACTTGGTTGATGCATGTCATCGATTTCCAATTGCGTGGATCGATGCTCATGATATCAATCACTGGACTGTCTGGTCCAGACTCAATTATTTACAGACCGCCGTAATATAGCTGGAATATTGCTGAGTGCGGCGTTAAACAACAAACCAACCAACAGTCTAAACTCATCCCGTTTTCGGCTATCTCTTCTAATATACTCGGGGGCACGGGTGGCCCAGTCGTCTAAGGCGCCGCGATTCGCTGTGCAGAGTTGCGTCCCCTGGACACGCCAGAAACCTATCATTGTGGGTTCGAATCCCGGTTCACCCCGATTATGTTTCTAGGTTTGTCAGCACCATACCCGTGCTCGTGGGTTTCACCGAAGTGGTAAACGTCTTAGACCTGCATCACTTCGGGCTTTCCTCCCACATTAAGCTGACATGACGTGATATAACTGGAATAATGTTAAAAGCGGCGTTAAACCCAACTCACTCACTCACTCACTCTAATATACTCATCTCACTCTCGGCTCTCTAAGCCTGTACCCATCCCATTCCCAAATTGTTTTATTCATTGCAAACTGAAAGGCCACATGCCCATAGTTCAACGTATTTTCAAGGTATGGGTTTTTCTTCTAACTAACAATGCATGATGTATGTACAATGCAATATTTTGTAATAAAGTAATATTTGAGGTTGACATGAGTATGCAAATCAAATTAATATTTGGGTAAGATAAAAACTTCTTTTGAATATACTTGTTTCTTAATTGACGATAGAGTTTACACACAAGCTTAAAATGATACTCATTTTCTACAACACTAAGGTTACAAGATGTACAGATATTGTTAGACTTCTAAAATACACCTTTATGGATCTTTCAATCATAATATCCTGCTCTGAACTGCGCTGCGATACTCGAAGTTATTTTTATTGTAACAGATATTAGATATTCTTCGAGTATAAATTGTTGTTTGACGAGAGAATAGGTATATGTAATTTGCTATTTCTTAGTTTTTTTTATCCACATTTGCTGAAAACAATCTTTAGCTCTTTGGAGTAATAATGACATAAACATCTTGACATTTCCAACACCCTGATCCATCCTTGCGTATCCAAGGCCTAAACTAAAAAGGGTGATTTTGATATTTGTTGCCCAATTATTTTTATTGCGTGAGTGACTGGCATTTTGGTCGAGATAGAACAGCATGTTATAGGCTTTTACTGGGTATCGCGTTGATGGAAGAGTCGTTAGTTTTAACCAATAATTTATACAGCGCTTAAGCGAAAATATATACAGTGGATATCTGCCACATTTCCCAAGTACAATACCATTTGGGGTGGAGGATCGAACCTCAATTACACGTTTACAAGCATAAAGATTAACCTTTTCTATATACTCATATTTTCTATAACCCCATATTTCTGACCCATTAAGTAAAATTGGCATTATCTTTGTATCAAAAATTGAAAGTATAAATTACAGGGCAGATTATCATATTTTAACAAACTTGGTAGGAATGACGTCAACGCTTTCTTAGCTTTAACAGATATATATTCTAGATATATATTCCAACTCAAAGTCCTAGTAAACAATATTCCAAGGTAAGTATAAGATGAAACTACTTTTACATGTGCATCTTTGTATATCCATTTCTCTATTTTTGATAATTTCCCCTCGCTTTTAAAAACAAGAACTTTAGTTTTATTTTGATTGACGGACAGTGACCACTTGTCACAATAATTTTCCAAAAGATTGATTAAAGACCAATTACCGAATCAGAAAAAAAGATTTCTAATAGATCTGGATATAACTGGATCCCAGTTTTAGATTTTGAGTTAATTTCAAGAACAAGTTCATTTATAAAGAAAGAGAACAAGAATGGGCTGAATACACAACCCTGACGCACTCCCAAAGGGCAATCAAACATACTTGTACGGTTATTGCCATTGGTTCGTACACAAGCTTTAACTGATTCGTAAATGGCTTTTAATGATTTTTCCATCTTTGATGCCCACCCATGTTTACCAAATAAGTGCCAGAGTTTTTTCTTTGAACGGAATCAAATGCCTTATCGAAATCAACAAAACATGCATGTAATTTACATCCCCTTTTTGAGAGATATTTTGTAAATAAAGCTTGTAGAATGAAAACATTGTCCATTGTGGAATATCCAGCTCTAAATCCTGCCTGTTTTTCATAAATGTTTCCCATTGCATCTGACCAAAACGTTAATCTGCCATTAAGAATCATGGTATATAATTTTCCAAAACAACTCAGTACAGATATTCCCCGATAGTTATCAACATTTTTCCTCTCACCCTTTTTATGCAATGGAACAATGATTGCTTTTGGCCATTCCGAAGGAAAAACACCTTTATTATACAGAGAATTGAACAATACAAGTAAATATGGAACAAGGATATTATCTGAACATTGAAACATTTCACTAATTACATGATCTGTTCCAGCTGCTTTATTACATTTCAACTTACGAATATTCTCTTGTATTTCCTCACTGCTGATAGGGGCTTTAAATATAGCATCAGTGACAGACTTAACCCAATTAGTACCAGTATATTCATCCGTTAGCACACTTTCAATATTCAAGGTGGGTGTATTCCTCGGGCACATTATGCAAGATGACATTATCGCGCCAACTAAACATTTCTAGTCTCACAAACCCTGTTCTCGATGGCACTTATGTCTTCTCTATGTGTTAAACCCTGTTGGTGTTGATGCTCGTGTACATAGTCCACATCCAGTTGTGTAATATGTTGTTGTTCTTTCATTTGTGAAATATCCTCTTTTAGTTCAACAATATTGTCAGTTACTTTCTTTATGTCTCCTTGCACGTGTTTAAGTTCATCTTTCAATTGAGTGGTGTCCTGTTTTATGTCTGTTTTCATGTTTCTAAGTTCCTCAATGATGTCAGCCTTAGTTTTATCAAGATGTAGTTAACTGATTGGTCTAGGGTTTAGTTCAACATCGCAGAACACAGTAACAGTAAATGTACTGACACAGATAGTTGAAACTGTTCACCAGACACGAGGAAATCACTAGACGCGTTGCTACTGCAGTCCGTGCATGACCTATATTGGAACACAGAACTTGCTGTGGCTATTTTATTTCGTCCACAAAGGCTCGGCTCTCTCAGCCAATACATTCACATACTCAGCTCTCTCAGCATATACTAATTCCATACTCGGCTCTCTCGGTCTATACATTCACATTCTCAGCTCTCTCAGCATATCCTCATCCCATTCTCAGCCAATAAACACCCCATACGCAGCTCTCTCAGCCTATCCTCATCCCATTCTCGGCTCTCTCAGCCTATGTTCATGTACTTACACACACGCACATACACATACACACACGCGCGCGGGCGCGCACGTCGTTATATTAGTGCAATAATCATGGACGCGACGTTAAACCTCACCTAACTTTACCTCACCATCCTCAGTTCCGAAATTGTGATACTCGAGGGTTCCCTCATACACCACAACTTGTTTAACCTTATACATACCTCTGCTTCAGGTACTATATGTTAGTCTACTGACAAACCACACATCATATTCAAGATGAGAAGAGCAGTAGGAGGAACTGAATGAGTCCAACTTGCAAGACAACACCATCACCATGCTCTCCTTTTCCAGCATATCCTTTATCAGGTTAAGTTCATGCTGAAAACTCCTCACATGGAAACCATGCTGCAAAGGCAGAGTGCATCATTTCGGGTCATGGTTGCAGCCGTGTTTGGCATAACGCTGTTTGTAATGGGTTATATCAGCTCCGGGTTTAAACCCATCAGAGACTTGGAGGTAATATTGGACTCCAACAATACAGCATTTGATCCCCCTTCTCCTATAAGAGTTGACAATTATGAATTCAGATGTCCAAGCGTTCTACAGTACATGACCCAAGGTCATTGGAGGACGAGAAAGCTTACCAAGGCTGAAAGTGGAGGCGCAGAACATTTTTTTCGCGCTGCTTTGAACCACAAAGGGGCCCCTGCTTCACTCCAGCGACCCGATGGTCGATGTGGTGACACAGGCTACGAAAACGTCACGAAATATATACGAGCAATTTGCAGTCCCACAGGACCGACCCCTTGCTGCTACAACTTCAAGTGTGTCAACAAGACAGAAGCCATGTGTCGGTGTAAAAATTGTTGGGATCTTCGACAGCAGGTTCAAGCAATATATTCGACCTGGATACCATCAGATCCCAGATGCAAACCCATATCTTACAGTTCCAAACAGAGTTGTTCCTTGTTGGATGGTGGATCGATCACCTTCATCGGGGATTCTTTGGTACGTCACATCTACACGGCGTTCTTAATGACTATACGAGGCAATTTTGAAACCGGCGGTCTCCGTCCCGAGGACGTACCAGGTAAGTTTTTGTTTTGTTTGTGTGTTGGTGAACGCCGCACTCTGCAATATTCCAGCTATATGAGAGAGAGTTGGTGTTTTTACGTGCGCTTTGTGAATGAGGAACATTGTACAGAATATATATAGTAGGTGGAGGATTAACAGTATTGCATACATGAGTAAGTAATGACAACAGAAGGATGATACTGTCACAACATGATGTACAGAGAACACATATGTGGAACCCAATAAGAAAAGAAGCCAATTAAATAGGATAAGTTTGCACAGGTGTGGTGATTATTGCTTAATGAGTTCATAGTGTTCATAGTGTGAATTAGTTTTTGGGTCGTGGCGACGTGACAGGTGTCGCCCCTGATTGTGTTGAATGTGTTGAATCAGCTCAGATCGAAACCGATGAAGCCCGGTCCTTCTGTGCGACTTCTGGTAATTTGACCAAGTCCCTTAGTTTTTCTGTTAGGTCGACTGATGATGACCTGTTTGACGAACTCTCTGGCAAACCCCTGTATCTGTACATCTGATCTACGATGGTGACTTGATGTATCAATAACTGTAACGCAGCGAGTCGAGGCGCTTAATGACCATACCCATGATCCACTTCACTTCCCTCGCCTCACGATAATTCCTGATTAGACATGGTTCATTGACCTGGAACTCACGGATAGTGTTGTGGCTTTGCCCGATATGTGAGAAGGAAGTTTGCAAGCTTCTGTTTAACTGGCATTGTCTGTTGACCTGTCCAAGGCTCAATGAAGTGTTTCTTAAGAACTGATTTCACGATCTGAACTGTGCGCTCCGCTGCACCATTAGACGCAGGATGGTAGGGTGGAGTCTAACTCTGTTTAATACCATTATTCTGTAGGAATAGTTTGAATTCCTCCGACGTGAACTGAGGTCCATTATAGGTCACAACCTCTTCCGGAAGACCGTATGATGCAAACAGTTCTCTCAGGAACACTATTGTTCTGATTGCTGTCGTGGTCGATAGTAGGATAGCCTCTTTCCACTTTGTAAGACTTTCCAGAACCACCAAAAACGTCTGAGATCTGTACTCGCTGTAGCCAATGTGGATTCTTTCCCAAGCTCTCCTAGGGTAAGGTCATGATTGTAACGACGGAACTGTTTGATCATGCTGTAGCACCTAACAAATCTCACAGCTGTGAGCAGTATTCTCTATACCAACTATACAGTACCTCAAGTAACTGCGGGTGAGGCTCTTCATTCTGACGATGTCAATGTCCTCCGCATGCAACTATTGCAATACTGCTGCCTGGAATCTGGGTGGTATGATTACCCTCATTCCCCAGAGTAGGCATCCCTGGTCTACTGACAGCTCTAGACGACGCATGAAGTAGGGCTTGAGTTCACTGTCATTCACGTGATTTGGCCAGCCTCTGCCTGTGTTCTCTTGTACACTGTTCTTCTGACTTGCAATATGTGTTTTCGTAGATTTTCGCCATGAGGATAAGCGCCTATCTTTGAAGTCTGGCTGCTGCCAGAGTAGGAATTCCTGCCTTTGGCCAAAGATAGCTGTCAGTGGCTTGTGATCAGTTATCAACGTCAGGCTCCTTCCATATAAATATTTATGAAAATTCTTAACGCCGAACACATTGGACGAGGCTTCCGTTTCTGGTTGGGCATAGTTAATGTTTGAACTTGTCAGTGATCGTGACGCGTAACTGGTGGTTCCGATCCATCTTCCATAATGTGTGATATCACAAACCCTATTCCGTAGACGGAATTCTCCGACAGTTCAAACTGTGGATATGCACCTTACTGAACACCCTCGCTCATGATAGTTTGGAGAAGAGATCCTCTGCTGTTGACATGGGGAATACCTTGGATTTCAGTGAAGAAACGATCTTCACAAATGCGCAACGACTTGTCTGACTTGGGAACAATCACCATTGGAGACGCCCAATCAGAACGTTCAATTTTCTTCACAACCCCTTTTCAAGTCTATCTAGTTCCGCTTCTACATCTTCCTTTAGCCTTGCTTTGGTACTGGCCTTGCTTTGTAGAATTTTGGTACTGTATCTGGTTTTACCCGGATATCAGCCGTGAAATTCTTAAATAGTTTCTTCCCCTTCAAATACACCCTTGTACTTGTCGATAATCTTCTTAATAGACTTCATAGATCTATCATTAGAAATCGGTCCTAAGACTGTGCAGACATAGTTCCATTTCATATTGAAACTTTTCAACCAAACTCGTCAGCGTAATGATGCTTTCCTTCCTTCCGCCACAATAAGAGGTAACTTCTTTGTGACATCTTCATACCGTACAGTCTATGTCACCTAGCATCGGCATCTCATCTCCGGAATAGCTTCTCAGGTTCATGCCAGATTCTTTCAAAGGCAAGTGAGAAAATTTCTTCTTGTACAATGTCTCTCCAGTTATCGACACATTAGATCCAGTAAATATGATGAATTCCGGTTCTGTCCCCTCCAGAGGTACTGTTCTATATTCAGCACCTTTAGCCTCCTCCATGGTTCAGATATTGTGCACAAATATTCGTCGTCATTTTCAACAAGATATGACTCCTTTGCGTTGACCTCAGTGCTGTCCCTTTCCACCTTTTCTGCCCCTATTCCCTTTGAAATATTGGGGTTGTCACCTTTTACATGCTCCAGCTTTATGTCCTTTCTAACCGCACGAATCACATTTCTTTAAGTTATGAAAGCGATTTTCAGCGTCATGTAATCCATTGCATCGAAAGCACTTGCTATTACACTTATACCTGCCTTGTCTATGAATTTTCCTGTCATTCAACCCGTTCATCTGCTCTGTGGACTGTTGTAGTTTGAATGACTGTATCTTATCTTATCTTTCCATTCAAATGGCTATTTTACACGTTTTCTGCCTAGTTAATTCCTTCTCTGTCAACAACCTTTTCTGAATGTGTTCATTTTGTAACCCTGCTATTCGTCTTTCTCGTAAATGTTCATTGAGGGTGTTTGCAAAGTTATGCTTTAGTGCCAGTATATATTCTGTCACACTTTCATTTGATGATTGATTTCCTTTACTGAATGCATACCTTTAACCGATTTCATTTCTATAAGGCTTGTAGTATTCCGTCAAATAGCCTGTCAGCTCTCCGTACTTCAAGCAGGTTGCATCGGCAGGTAAAGGGAGCGACACTGAGGCCTACAAATCCTCTCGCTTCGACCGTAAATAACGAACTGCGAAATAACATGCGTGTGGAACGTTTTTCATTCCACAACTTCGGTAAAAACGTAAAAACGTTCGTTCCGGTTTGGGGACCCAAATACTGCAGTCTACCCGACACTACAACTTTGAAAGCATGTTGACCCAACGGCTGCAAGGAAAGTGTTTATTCTTTCGTCCGGCTCCACCCAATTCGCTGCCATCCATATTTCAAAGCGTTTAATGTAGCTACCCCAGTCCTCCTTCGCTGAATCAAACTCCACAATGAAACCTTTGTTCATCGCGAGATCTCGTTCCGTTGCTAGGCGACACTCTTTCCAACTAGACATGCTATTTTGCGCTCAGTTCCAAAAGTTACTAACTCCCGCTTGTACCACTTTGTACAATAATGTTCCGTGTGCCTTCAGGGTATTTCATGTCAAATATGTCCACACACTCACGTTTCAACATTTAGGGAGCCTGTAAGCTTGCGCCCGGTCTGCTGCCTCCACTCTGCATTCCTGTCGGAACACTCATTCCCTCATTACTGCGAGCGCATCCCGATCTCATCCTCGTCGCGAATGTGTTGTATTTCCTTCAGTTCTCATACTGAACGATCTCCGTACCTATAACACGGAGACTGGGGTTACGATCGTGGGTTTATTCTTCTATCATGGCGGCGGTACATCGGTTGGCGCTGACGTCATCAGCTACGTCATAGCGCGAGCTAACTGGTAGTATTTACTATAGCACTAATCATAATGACAATACACTACAACATTCCATGTAACAGATTATGCAGAAGCCGAATTGGCTGTTTTCACGTGTGACTTGTTATTTTCAGGATGGAAGTTTCGATGTTCTGGCATGATGATGTTTGAGGAGAGATTCTGCCGACTGCAACTTGACGTACGTCCGAATCTATGCGGCGGAAGAGTAATCACGACTTGGTACAGGCACTACAACATTCTGAGGTCGAATGATCTCTTGGGTGTTGTAACAAATAATTTAAATGAAAAGCGAAGCCTATTCGTTGTTGGAATAGGCATTCACGAGGACTACAATTCGACTAGAGTGAAAATGAAATACTTAAAGCCTACACTAGACAGACTACGAAAGTTTGGCCTCGCTTGGCCCAAGGTATTGTTTGTAGATATGAACGCCCCTGGGGTGATGAAGTATTCGGATACACAATCAAAACCTCACGTGATTCGATTCAATCGCGATATGGAGGAATTTTTGAAGGAGTATGACATCCCTGTGTTTAAAACGTTCAACATGACAGAAGGTGTGCGAAGTTTTGATGGAACCCATTATGCACTTGGAACAAATAGGGTAAAAGCAAGTATACTTCTGAACTACATACAGGAGCTTAGCGATGTCGGTGTTTGGTGATTGTCAGTACATGGTAGTTAATGTATGTCAGTCAGTATGTTTGTCGGTGTATGCTTTTCAGTATACCTTTGTCAAGGTATGTTTGTCAGTATGTATGTCAGTTCACGTTTGTTTGGGGCGGTCGGGTAGCCTAGTGGTTAAAGCGTCACACCGAAGACCCGGGTTCGATTCCCGACATGGGTACAATGTGTGAAGCCCATTTCTGGTGTCCCCCGCCGTGATATTGCTGGAATATTGCTAAAAGCGACATAAAACCATTCCCACTCACTCACTCAGTTCACGTTTGGCAATGTAGCTGTGTCAACGTATGTTTGTCAGTACACGTGGGGCGGTTTTAGCCTAGTATTTGAAGCCTTCGTTCGTCGCGCCAAAGACCCGGGTCCAATTTCCCACATTTCTTCAATGTGTGAGGCCCATTTCTGGTGTCTCCCCGCCGTGATATTTCTGGAATACTGCTGAAAGTGGTGTAAAACCAAAGTCATTCAATTTCAGTACATGTCTGTCAGTGTATGTATCTCGGTACACGATTGTCAGTGTATGTTTGTGGGTACTTTTATCAAGGCATAGTTATCAAGGCATGGTTAATAGTGTATATTCGTCAACGCATGTGGTTTAGTAGGTTTGCTGGAATATGTTATTAACGCACTTTTGTCAGTACATATTTGATAGCGCATGTAAGATACGTGTCGCATATTGGATGGTCCGTTTTAAATAGTACGTACGGTAATGCAAGCTTGTCGTTGAATATTTGATATTTCATATATATGTGCGTGTTCGCCGCTGCATTGTTGTAACTGCGTGTTTGACAGTGCATGTTTAATGATGCATGTTTTATATATTCAATGTGGGGAAATGTATTTTCAATAATCTATTATGTTTTTACGTCAACGCTGTTATTGAAACCTAAACTTGAATAAAAAACAAACTTAATTCACGTGCCATGTTTGTCCTCACTGAACTTGATTAGGGGCGGTCGGCCTAGCCTAGTGGTTAAAGCGTTCGCTCGTCACGCCGAAGACCCGGGTTCGATTCCCGACATGGGTACAATGTGTGAAGCCCATTTCTGGTGTCCCCGCCGTGATATTGCTGGAATATTGCTAAAAGCGGCGTAAAACCATACTCACTCACTCACTCACTGAACTTGATGAAGAACATGTTGGTCATGTCATATTCAATTTTCTGTTTCCTTTTTGTGATGAGAGGGACATGCAAACTACACAAAGAATCATTATTATGTGAATAACTTTTTACGGGAAATTCAGTCTTTATTCATTCAGTCTCACTTTGTGATTTTGGGTCGCTGCAAATTGCACAAAGAACAAAATTAAGTAGTTTGTCAGCCGGGCACACAACGCTACTGTTCACAACTCATAACACACCCACAGGATCCAAGGATCCTTTGCATCAGTGAACTTCTACACGAACAGCCCAAGAGAAGGAATTCGAATTGAAGCGGGGGAAACTCACATATTATATAACAGTTACACGTTTATAAACAAGTGTTTTCTGATAGTAAATAAGGGGAAGGCGGGAAATGGATCTTCTGGAGATGTGTCAAAGATTGCTGGTCAACTGTTTCAAACATTAATGACATTGTTTCCAAACTACCTGGCAACCACTACCATGCACTGAATGACGTTAAGGTACGACTATAATGGCAATATAGTTAATAAAGTCTGTAATGTAATGTATATTTATATGTGAGATATATTTATATGCTGGTTGGTTGGTTTGTTGTTTAACGCCGCACTCAGCAAAATTCCAGCTATATGACGGCGGTCTGTAAATAATCGAGTCTGGACCAGACAATCCAGTGATTAATATCATGAGCATCGATCCACGCAGTTGGGATTGATGACATACATCAACCAAGTCAGCGAGCCTGAGCACCCGATCCCGTTAGTCGCGTCTTACGACAAGCATAGTGGCCTTCTACTGGCATGCTGAAGACCTATACTACCCGGAATCTTCACGGATCTTATTTATATGTAATATATATTTATAGGTGATGTGTATTTATATGTGAAGTATATGTATGTGTGCTGCATTTATATGTAATATATATTTATATGTGAAGTATATTTATACGTAATATATATTTATATGTGGTGTATATTTGTACGTAATATATATTTATATGTGATGTACATTTCAGGTCAACAGACGCATCACAGACTGAAGTTGAAGGTCATCACTTCCTTACAGCCTATGCCATCTCCCTTAAATGAGGGGTCGGGTAGCCTAGTGATTAAAGCGTTCGCTCGTCACACCGAAGACCCGGGTTCGATTGCCGACATGGGTACAATGTGTGAAGCACCCCCCCCCCCCCCCCCCCCACACACACACACACACACACACCTTGGCGGAGTCCAAGCCAACCTTCCACGGTGTTAAGGACCAACTATAACGTGCCAGACATTCCACCTCCCCTGTTCTGCCGACACAGTAGACGCGACATAGTCGTTCAAGATGCCTACCATAAGATTGTTCGTTTGTTGTTTGACGTCGCACTCAGCAATATTCCAGCTATATGACGGCGGTCTGTAAATAATTGACAATCCAGTGATTGATATCATGAGCATCGATCCACGCAATTGGGATAAGATGACATGCCTCAACCAAGTCAGCGAGCCTGACCACCCGACCCCTTTAGTCGCTTTTACGGCAAGCATGGGTTGTGAAGGCCTATTCTACCCCGGATCTTCACGGGTCCCTACCATAAGACCAATTCTGGGGGTCAGTTCATGAAGATCAATGATGGTGATGCCGACAGTGTACTTGTGTTGGCAGGCAAACTACAGATATTATATTTAGGTCTAACCTTAGGTACATCTATGTTATATACAAGTGCAACATATACAAATTCTCACGGCCAGAGACAAGTATATTCTGGATGAAAAAAACCTTTCTTCAGATAGCATATGATAGAGGGGTCTTGCTGAAACACAGATTTCAAACATGCTAAATATTCAAGACTAGAGAAGATGACATGCAGAAAGTTTGGTGAACGATAACAATGCTTGAATAAACACCCTTATCTGCGCTATTCAAATAGTGACAATAGGGTGTGTGTGTGCGTGTGTGTGTGTGTGCGCGTGTGTGTGTGTGCGTGTGTGCGTGCGCGCGCGCGTGCTTGTGCGTGTGTGTGGTTTGTGTGTATTGGTGTAAGTAATAGCATTCATTCACGAAAAAATAGAGACTATTGGTCAACGTCTTGGATCCGCATCACTTCCATCTTTCCTCAATCGCCAAGCTGACGCGACGTGATATAACTAAAATCTGTTCAAAGCTGCGTTAACTAAAACTCACTCACTATTGTAAATTCATAACAATGGATGTCTTGGTCACGCAGCCGTTGGGTGGATGACATGTTGTGACATATTTTACGTGCGCAGCATACACTAATAATAATAGTGATTGAGTGAGTGTGTGTTGTTTCACGCCGCTTTCAACAATATTCCAGCAACATCACGGCATGGACACCATTGTGCCCATGTGGGGAAACGAACCCGGTTCTTCGGCATTACGAGCGAAAGCTTTAACCACTGGGCTACCCCACCGCCTTAATAATCGGAAATAGTAATTATCCCCAGTGCTTAAAACACCGTGAGCGTTAATGATCCAGGAGTACACGTCGCTTCAATTCGTTATGCAAAGTTACGTCCCATGTCGCGCCAGGATCCTCTGACTCGTTAGTTTCTTCCAATGTATGTTAACGTCCACGACCTGGGTCACTTCAGTTGTCCTCATATGCGTTTCGTGTGTGATTGGTTGTTTAGTTTATATGGCTAATTACAAAGGCCCCGTGTCTTAACTGACCGTTTTAATTTTTCTCGTGTTGCAAAGTTTTAAAATGTGTGTGTGTCACACACATACACATACACACATACATACACTCACGCACACACACACAGACACACACACAAACAGACAGACAGACATAAACAAGCACACACGTACACAGACACACACATGCAGGCACATTCACGCACGCACACATTCACACATAGACACACACGAGGAGAGATATGCACACACAGAGACACACACGAGGAGAGATATGCACACACAGAGACACGAACACAAACAAATGAACACAGATACATACACACACATACAAATACACACGCACACACGTATACACATACTAGCACGTACAAACACAACACCCTATCTTTACATTACACTAGGACAGAGCCTTAACAACGGAGTCACAGCTACATCTGTTGTCTATGATCTACTAGGCATTACTAAGCAGTACAAGCTCTTCCATTTCATAGAAACGTATCTCACTGAAGGTCATTTCCCGCCAAGGACAACATGGAAAAGAATCGTTAATAACACGGTAGCTCAATTTGAAAGACAGAAATGGATAGAAAAGGTCTACTCGCCAAAATTTATTGTTTGACCTTTACAACATGAAAAAGCATATGCCTTAGTTAAACTAGGTATTTCATCTATAACAACTGGTAAATGTATGATGTGTGATATATATATATATAAAACACACGTGCACACAGACACGTTCACTTACATACACGCTCGCACACACGCACGCACACCGGGGCTTCGTGGAGTTGAAAGCTGTTTTATGAAAATGAATATATGAGTATTTTATGTACGTCTCAGTTACTTTTGTTTGTTGTGAACCTCCATTGTTCGCCAAACAAACTTTGAATTTAAGTGGATCGGTAACACGGAGGGAATATTTTGGCATAACATGCTGTCAGATACTTATACATGCCTTATGCAAAAAGCTATTGATTCTGTTTTCACTAATATTGATGACAGTGTACGTTTCTTCACTCAAGGGGGAGGTGGGGTAGCCTAGTGGTTAAAGTGTTCGCTCGTCATGTCGAAGGCCCGGGTTCGATACCCCACATGGTTACAGTGTCTGAAGCCCATTTGTGGGGTCCTCCGTCGTGATATTGCTAGAATTTTGCTAAATGTTGCCTTAAACTATACTCACTCACTTTACTGAAGCATGTACTTATGGTGAAGAATGCAAGAAAAGTGAAACAATCCCTTGAAAAGAAAGTAAACAACAGTTTGACTGGAGAAAGATGAACTATTTAAAATAAGAAAACACAAAGAAGTGGTCTTGCTCAGTATATTGAAACTGGAAATATGGTAACGTAGGGCTTTTGACCAATGGGGATTTAGGACCGCCTCCGTGGTCTAGTGGTAGAGCGTCCGAGAGCAGAAGGTCCGGGGTTCGATCCCCGGCCGCGTAATACCAAGAGACGTTAAAATATATGGAACTGCTTGGACTGGTCGGCTCGGAGTCAGTATACTGTGTCTGAGTTGGGTATTCATGTTAAACTGCGGCATGGCATCTCGGAGAGCTAGCACTATAAATCGGCATCAGTCCGGACTAGTACAAGCAGCCACACACACAAACACGTGCATGCACGTCGCTATATAAGTGCAATAATCTTGGACGCGACGTTAAACCCAATTTCACCTCACCTGACCTCACGCTATGGGCTTTTTTTTATCCACTTGAGCTTTTGGCTGCCTCGCCTCCCCCCTTAGCAGACAACAGACGCAGTGGAAGAAAAAAGAGAGAAAATTTAGAAAGTACAAGCTCTTCTACAAAGGAAATTCGTCTACTTTTTTAATGAACAGCAATAGTTTGAATACCGGTGGTCGCGATATAAGAATCTTGAACACGACGTTAAACCCCATTTCACATCACCTTGAACACAAGTGCGTATTTCAGAGATATTTTCAGCGGTGAATAAAGTGACGATTTGGATTGGCACTACTCAAGAAAGAACGATATAGTACTATCGCCACGTGTATACTAAATACATGTGTGGAGGGGGTCGGGGTTGGGTGTGGCGGCGATGGATCGGGGTTGACAAAAGAAAATTTGTTCGTTTGACATGAAATAATTGTTCTGCACCTTTCAGTACGCCTGACCGATAAGAA